ACCCTCTCGCTCCGCCTCCTCACGCGCCGCCCCAACGCCCTCCTCCTCTACACGGGCCCCCTGTCGCCCTCCTCCGCCCGCTCGAACTACCCGCCCACGCCCATGATGGTCCTCCAGCTGGTGGAAGGGCGGCCGCAGTTGATGCTGGAGGGTTCGCGAGGCCCCGTCAAGCTGCTGGTGAACAGGACCCTGAACACCGGCTCGTGGCACACTGTTCACGTTCACCTGGACGGGAAGGTAGGTGGGCGGCCTCGGGAATGAGTGGGGGGTGGGTGGGGGTGGGGTGGGATGGGGTAGGTGGGCGGCCTCGGGAATGAGAGGGGGGTGGGGTGGGCGGTGGTGGTAGGTGGTCGCCTCGGTGTGGGGGTGGGTAGGGGGGGCTGGGGTGAGGTGTGGTGGGGTGGGGGCGGTGCTTGTGTTTGTTTGTGTTTGTCATCGTTAAGGGATCTTTGTTGTCGCTTCTGATTCTGTATTTGTATTGTAATTTATTTAATTTATCTATCTATTCATTATCATTTTATAATCATTATTTATTATTATTATTATTATTATTATTATTATCATTATCATCATTATTATTATTGTCATTACTATCATCATTGTTATTATTATATATTATTATATTTATTATTATCATCATTATTATTATTCATTATATATTATCATTGTTATTATTGTTATCATTGTTATTATAATCATTATTCTTTTTATCATTATCATTATCATTATTATTATTTTTATCATTATCCTCATTAATAAGATTAAAATTTTCGTTATATGTATATTTGTTGGGGGGTGAAAGGAAAAATGACTCAATAATTAAAAACGAATAATGGTTACAAAATCAAAGCAGCTTCCACTGAACATCACTGTTTTTGTTTTTTTATAAAATCTACTTCAAATACTTTATCTATAAATGTTAATACTAGCTTCAAAAATAATACATTTCAGCGCACTTCACAACGATAACGTATAAAAAGCCATCCTTTCATGCAAAGGAATTATCTCACACTTATCAGTTATTCATAGAAAAAAATAGAATAGATTTATAGGAAAAATGAAAAAGAAAAAACAAATATATATGAAAAAATAATAATAATAATAATAATAAAATAATAATAATAATAATAATAAATAATAATAATATAATAATAATAATAATAATAATAATAATAATAATAATAATAATACACGCTATTGATGTCACGCCAGACTCAACATTGCAACATGTCTCTTTATTCACAACGTCTATTCCAGGGCGTTGCTCTCATGGTTGACCTGTGTGGGCGGCAGTGGGCGGCAGAGGAAAACAACAAGAGGAGCCCCTGCATCGCTCGCTCGTCGTGGGCGGAACCTCGAAATACGGAGGGTTGGGTGAGCAGCTTGCCTCTGCAGGTGGGCGGGATGGCTCACCCACGCCCGCAACCCAAGGACTTCGGGTGGACTGGAGGCGCCCATTTGCAGGGGGGGTTGGTGGGGTGTGTCTCGCACCTGACTGTGAACGGAGAGGTAGCTATGGGAATCTGCTTTGATCGTCTCTGTGTCTGTTCTGTCTCTGTCTCTGTTTGTGTGTCTTGTGTCCTGTCTGTCTCTGTCTCTCTGTCTCCTGTCTCTGTCTCTGTCTCTCTCTCTCTCTCTCTCTCTCTCTCTCTCTCTCTCTCTCTCTCTCTCCCTCTCTCTCCTCCCTCTCTCTCCCTCCTCTCTGTGTGTCTTTCTCTACTCTCTCTGTGTTCTCTCACTCTCTCTCCTTTCTCTCTCTCTCCCTCTCTGTCTGTCTTTCTCTCACTCTCTCTGCATTTCTCTCTCTCTCTCTCTCTCTCTCTCTCCCCTCTCCCCTCTCCCTCTCCCTCTCTATCTATCTATCTATCTATCTATCTATATATTATCTATCTATTTCCATCCATCTTTGTCTTTTTCTATGTATTGCTATCGATATATCTGTTTGTATGTCTGTATCTTCATCTCGCTATCTATCTATCTGTCTATCTGTCTGCATGTATGTACGTCTGTCTGTTCCCCGATCGCTCATTCTCTCTATCTATTTGTCTCCCTATTTATCTATCTAAATGCATAGCTTCCGGTCTCCTAATTCCGAACAATTGTTAAACCTATTCATGATTAAATGGCTGCTCTCAAACCAGGAAATGAAAAAAAGGTACAAACATCAGATATTAAATTATGAAATTAAATTCAATTTTCATATCCTTTTCATTACACCGTACACACACACGTGCACAAAATCGCAAATGGGTTTGTACGCGTGTGTGCGTTTCATAATATCATTACTATCAGTTATTTGACACAACGTATTCCGTCAAATAATACGAATGGAGATATTTTTTTTTTAAACAAGAAATTTTTACCAATCTATGCATTCATTCATTTATTAATTGCTGATGCACGTTTATTGACGTATTTGGATATAACTTTTTTTATGATATTCCGTTTGATTATTTCACTATCACATGAATATTCAATTTATGATAGAAAACACACATACAATTCCCAGGAAACGTAAACAAAACAAATCCTAAATCAATATCCGGATTTTCTCAATATCTAACCCCTAAGAAATATCAACACGAATGAAAACATTAATTCGAAATATAGAATCATCAGCATTATTATTTTTTCCTATCAGTTATAACTTCCCTGTGCGTCCGAAAAAGGGGGAAAAAATTGCAGCTGAAAATTCCTGCCTAGATTATAGAGCAACGAAACTAACGGACTTTAAACTTTTTTATTTCATGAGCACAAAGGAAAGCTGGACTGATTTTAATGAAGAGGCCCAGTAATTTTAAGTTCGAGGGTGATGAGAAAGAGAGAGAGGAAGTGAGGGATAGATAGATAGATAGATAGATAGAAAGGAAGAGAGAGTGTGGGAGGAGGAGGAGGAGGGGAGAGAGAGAGAGAAGATAGAGAGAGAGGAGAGAGAGAGAGGAGGAGAGAGAGAGAGAGAGGAGAGAGAGAGAGAGAAGAGGAACACATAGATAAAGATAGACATATCGATAGGTAAATAAAGAGAGATAGACATAGACAAATATAGAGAAGAGAAGAGGCAGTTAAATAAAGAAAAATAGAAAGTTCAACAAAGAAAGGGATAAAAGAGAAGAGAGAGAGACAGGGTGGGTGGGGGAGAGAGAGAGAGAGAGAGAGAGAGAGAGAGAGAGAGAGAGAGAGAAGAGAGAGAGGAGAGAGAGAGAGAGAGAGAGAGAGAAGAGAGAGAGAGAGAGAGAGAGAGAGAAGAGAAAGAGAGAGAGAGAGAGAGAGAGAGTTAGAAAGATAGATATAGAGAGAGATAAAGATAGATAGATAGGTAGACAGATAGATAGAGAGAACCAGAAGAGACACGGATACGCTAAAGTCCCTTCCCTCAACAGCTGACCGACCTGGGCGAACCGGCCTTCAGCAGCGGGAGCAAGTCCGGCTGCGCCCTCCAGGACCAGGCTTGCGAGGACGGCGTGGAGGACCAGGAATCCTACGTCGGGAAATGCGGACTCCAAGGACGCTGCGTGGGCGGACTCAACGCTCCCAAATGCCAGTGCGATCCGGGATGGGCGGGGGAGTCCTGTGACACGCCCACTGTGCCGGCGACCCTCGGGCCCGGCTCCCACGCGACCATAGGACTCTCATTCAGTCCGGATCCTTACGTCCTGTCGGTCCAGCTGAGGGTTCGGACTCGAGGGAGGACGAGTGGGCTCCTACTCAGGACTTCAGATGATCGCCGTGCACCCGCCCTTGCCGTGCACGTGAGTCCTTGAGAAGTGATAGGAATCCTTTACTATTCATAGGATAATGATAACCAAGTCCTCAGTCAATGGATAATGATAATCAAGTCCTCAGTCAATGGATAATGATAATCAAGTCCTCAGTCAATGGATAATGATAATCAAGTCCTCAGTCAATGGATAATGATAATCAAGTCCTCAGTCAATGGATAATGATAATCAAGTCCTCAGTCAATGTGATAATGAGGTAATCAAGTCCTCAGTCAATGATAATGATAATCAAGTCCTCAGTCAATGGATAATAAAGTCCTAAAAAAAAAGATTGGATTCATTAATTATTCACAAGATGAGAATAGTCCTTAGTGAATAAAGGAATAAGGTCCTAAATCCTAAACGCGGGGTTGCTTTCTTTATTACCTACACCAAGAGGGTTATGCTTTGGTCACGTTGGTTAGTTCGTTAGTTGGTTGGTTAGCAGGAAATCAAAAGTTATGAAAAGATTTTTCAGCTTTTTCTGATTAAAAAATCATTTTTTTTTTTTTTTTACCAATCTGTTTTAGCCTAACAAAAGATTCCATTAAATTCTGTTGGTAATCCGGATCCAGGTTTATTATTTATTTATTCATTTTTTTTTTTATGACTGCATCATTACCCCTTGCCCTCGCCAAGAAGGTTATATTTGCGGACGTCACCTGTGTATTTGAGAAAGGTGATTGAAATGTGATTCCTCAAGTGTGAATATTATTGTTACATCAATGTCCTTATTGCCATGGCAGATGTATGCGCTCTCTGAGTCCTTCTAAGTTAATCCTAGGATGATAATGAAATAGTTCTTAGGAAAGAGATGAATAAGGTCGTAAGTCCTAAAAAATGCGTTGTTTCTTTTATAATTAATATGATAATAGTTACAAGGACTACCCAATAATAAGATATCAGCAATGTGGGAATGAGAGCAAATATAATGATGATAATATTAATGATAAAATACATTATCATCACCCCCCCCACTGCACCCCTCTAACCCAACCCCCCCGCCCACAGCTGCGCGACGGGGTGGTGTGCGGGTCCCTGGAGCAGGCGACGGGGCGGCAGGAGGCGTGCGTGGAGGGCTTCCCTGTCGGCGACGGGTCCTGGCACACGGTCACGGTGGCGCGCCAGGGCTTCAACTTCTTCACCTCCGTAGACGACGGCGAAGGCTGGAGGAGGAACGAGAGTATCGCCTCCCTCGCCGCCGGGTCCTCTGGGGGGCTGAGGGGGAGGGGGGCGGGAGGACGCGGCGCGGTTCCTGGCTTCGAGGTCCTCCACGCCCGCGCCCGTCGTGGTGGAGAGGGTGGTGGTCGGGGGAATGGCGGAGAACGTGGATGCGAATATGGTGTCGGTGGAGGAGGATCTCAGTGAGAGTAAGTGGAGTGGGATGCCTTGAGAGTGGACTATGATTTTTTTTAAGATTATAAATGTTTTTGTTTTTACTAGAATTTTGTTGATGTTTTTTGCTAGATT